CCCACCGCCGCCCCCACACGCCCCGCCCCCCCCCCCCCCCCTCCCCCCCCCCCCCCCCCCCCCCCCCCCCCCCCCCCCCCTCCCAGCACACAGATGCGTATGAAGAGGGCAAGCGAGGAGTGACTGTCACCAGCCGACTTCCGTCAAGGTTGCATGCGACTCAACCCCAACAGCTGTATGCCACTTTATCTGAATATTACATCATAGACAACGAGTCTCTGCGGTGAAAAGCACCTCCGTCTGTAGTGATTTCAAAGTGAGCATTAAGTTAAGCTTCGAGCTATAATTCAAGGCAGTTTCGATTGCCCGCTAGAATTGATCAGAACTGATTTGTTCAAGTCAGTCTTAATCTTGTTGAACAACACCTGCTGAGCGTGTGGACGCATACATCAGGATGCTACTGGGCGTCTCCCAGTAACTATAGCAGGCAAGTGAGGATTGTCATTGCCGTGCGCTGATGGCCGGTTGGGTGCCAGTATAAAAAACACGGCAAAACCCGGGCCCGTCAATCGCTCCCACCGGCTGACAACGGTCCAGGCGATCCCTGCACAGCACTGCATACCAGGACAGGGGATTTAAGTGGTACACTAAAGCCATTGGTTACCTCTGTACAGCAAGTGTTCAACCCCGTGTCGTTTAGAATAACAGCGCGCCCCAAGCTTATCAGTGTTTCACGTCAATGTCCGGATGGCCTTACTTAAATAAGTTTGCTTAATAAGTCTTCAAAGTATCTTTAAGCCTTACTTAAATAAGACAACCAGGTTTGCACAAAAGCGCGTCCTAAGCTCATCAGTGTTGCATGTCAATATCCGGATGACCTTACTTAAATAAAGTAGGTAATCAGGTCTCTTCAATTATTGTCAGTTATGAGTTATCGTCGGTTAGAAGTTGTCATTTATATTCAGTTTCGGTTGCTATAATATTTCAGTTGGCGACCAGTTTGCCAGGCCTGTCTAGACATGGCGTTGCTGGGAGAATCAAGTATAGTACAAATATCATTAAATCAATTAAGATGTATCTGAAGTTAAATCTACCACAGCAAACCAACCACTGTTGACACATTTCGTAAACACGGCGTTCTTTCGACTTAATTTGCTTGTGATTTTTTCCCGGTGCACGTACCACGAATGTCCAGCCAGATACATTTACATACATTGTAATGCACCCTATACCCTGTAATCACCCACTTTCTCAAGATTCGTTATTTTTGCAATGATGAAAGCGGTTGCTAATCTTGACAGGCCCTGTCAAAATTTTGGTTTCTCGCCCCTGGGTGAGAAACTAACATGCCCAGCAATGCTCGGATATGTTAGTTTCAACACATAACAGGAAATGCTTCGCGCTGACGGCTGTGGTCAGTAATATTTATTCAATAATTGCGAGATGCTTGGTAATAGCGTATTATGTCACGTAGCCCAAGCTCAAAGCAATTTATAACGTTTCTTGTCGAAATCTATGACCTACACCTGTAACATGTCCTAGTGATATTTCTCATTCCTCGCGAACACTTGTTTGCTGTTTATCTTCGGCAAACGGGTCAAGGTCTTTAATAACCAAACCTTGATTGAAGAATAAGAAAACAGCTAACCTAAACTCGACACTAAGCTGAACTTCAGAGCATCTTAAAACAACTACACCTTAAGGCAAACTATAACCTTAATGCTAGCCTTGACTTAACACGCGCCCGGGTGGCCGGCTAAATACCCTTCGCTCGGGTGGGGGGGGGGGGGTCAATTTGACCCCCTGAGATCACGCGAACTAAGAAAGTTAACAACACCAAATTTACAAAATGTGTTACACTGTGCTTAAACTCACTTAGGTCAAAGTTTTAGGTTCCTAAGTCATGACCTTTGGTCAAAAAAAGTCAAACAAGGTCAAGTTCCAGGTTGGAAGCCAAAGTGCCCCTAGAGCCTAGAGCCTAGATAACAGTTTCTAAGCAAGAGGTGACATGCTCATTCAAGGTCAGTGACCTTGTTTGGCCTTGTTTTAGTGTCAAAGTGTCCAAAATTATGCAAGATTGCTTGGAGTTACGCATTTGACTAAGCCACAAAGATTACGCTAGGCAGTATGTTCCTAAAACAAAATGTTGATCTGGGTCATTTTACGTCAATGACCTATTCTGACCTCTAAGAAGTCCAAGGAAGATGTGTAATGCCGTTCCTGCTCTCATGCTATCAATAAATTCGAAATGAGCACCACAAATTATACAATGCAGAAAGCCCTAGAGTAGCAAAACAGGTTGGTTTTGACCTTGGTGTGACTTCATACCTGACCTTAGATCAATGTAATTTGCTCATTCAACTGTTGTGTTGCCTAAGAAAGCATCTGAGAGATGTCTGGCTTTGTCTAACACTCCGTTGTTGGATCAGGTTGAAGGATTCCTTATAAACCACCTTCGCTGAACCATGGCCTGACTTTGACCTGCCATAGGTCAGCGACCTTTACCAAGGTACATCTAAAATTATTGATGCCAAACAATCCGCTATTCAATTGTCTACATCTATGACAAATTTGGCATTCGAAAACCATTCTGGAAAAGCCTTCGGGAACCCGAGTGCGTGTAACCCCTCAGCCACTTAAGACGATTTCTAAATTATAAGGCACAATTTTCTGTATCACTGCGGCGATCCGAAAAATTGATTCCGTTGTGGTCCACATTATGTATATCTTTGCAAGCTTTCCGTCGTGCGATGCGAGTTTTACGATGATTACAATACTGGCCTTTGCCTGTGGGTTTTTTTCGACTTGCCCCTGCTCCTTGCTCACCGCTCCTCTTCGCTACAGCTGTGGAACTTGCTCACAATGACCGCTGTTGGGAGAGCCATCATCACGCAGACGAAATATGCGCACACGCTGCCGAAAAGCTTGCCGACGGTCGTCATCGGTATGACGTCACCATAGCCGACAGTCGTCATGGTAACGATGGCCCACCACATGGCTTGCTGTAGGGTCTGTATGCCGTAGTTGTCGACAGGCTCCACCCAGAAGACGAGGCAGGCGAAGAACACCAGGGCGGCAACCCACACAGCGCAGAGGACGCCGAGAAACGGAGCCGCCGCCGCCAGGGTGCGCTTGAGGGTCGCACCCGCTGCCGTGTCGCGGACGAACCTGGAGCGCAGGGGTCATAGCTATCATTCTAACATGATGGCAGCGCAAGGGTCATGACTATCATTCTAACATGATGGCAGCGTAAGGGTCATGGCTATTATTCTAACATGATGGCAGCGCAAGAGTCATGACTATCATTCTAACATGATGGCAGCGTAAGGGTCATGACTATCATTCTAACATGATGGCAGCGTAAGGGTCATGACTATCATTCTAACATGATGGCAGCGCAAGGGTCATGACTATCATTCTAACATGATGGCAGCGCAAGAGTCATGACTATCATTCTAACATGATGGCAGCGCAAGAGTCATGACTATCATTCTAACATGATGGCAGCGCAAGGGTCATGGCTATCATTCTAACATGATGGCAGCGTAAGGGTCATGGCTATCATTCTAACATGATGGCAGCGCAAGAGTCATGACTATCATTCTAACATGATGGCAGCGCAAGAGTCATGACTATCATTCTAACATGATGGCAGCGCAAGGGTCATGGCTATCATTCTAACATGATGGCAGCGTAAGGGTCATGGCTATCATTCTAACATGATGGCAGCGCAAGAGTCATGACTATCATTCTAACATGATGGCAGCGCAAGAGTCATGACTATCATTCGAACATGATGGCAGCGCAAGGGTCATGGCTATCATTCTAACATGATGGCAGCGTAAGGGTCATGGCTATCATTCTAACATGATGGCAGCGCAAGAGTCATGACTATCATTCTAACATGATGGCAGCGCAAGAGTCATGACTATCATTCGAACATGATGGCAGCGCAAGAGTCATGACTATCATTCTAACATGATGGCAGCGCAAGAGTCATGACTATCATTCTAACATGATGGCAGCGCAACAGTCATGACTATCATTCTAACATGATGGCAGCGCAACAGTCATGGCTATCATTCTAACATGATGGCAGCGCAACAGTCATGACTATCATTCTAACATGATGGCAGCGGCCGTCAGCGTGCCCTCAACGGGGCCAAATCAATCGGCTGTTTGAAAACGCCTATAATGTACAAATGCGTGGTCATACAAGCACCGCCTGTTCGCGTCATCATATTTCCCAGCGAAAATGTGAGGTTGGAAAATGCCTTCATATCAAACTACATTGTTGCTCACCCTAAAGACGACCCTCTCACGATTATCAGACTGACCTACCACACCACTCATGGCACTACCGTTGGGCGGACATGGTCCAATGCACCGAGCCCTGCCCCGACCCCTGACCTTACGCAGACCCAGCGGCTTCTCACCTGAAAACGCGCAGCATGCGGACCAGCCGGCACAGCCTACCAAGCCACGTGACGGCCCCAGTGGGACGTACTGACGAGCCCTCCAGCGCGGAAGAAGACGAAGAAAGGCACGGTGATCACCAGGTCCAGTATGTTCATTGGGTCCAGGAAGAAGCGTGCATGGTTTTGGCAGGCGACCAGACGTGCTGCCAGCTCCACGAACAGCAGCGCTACGCAGACAACTTCAATGTAGAGGGCAGCACGGGGCGGCACCGGCTCCTCATCGTCGCCCAGCGTCTGCAGTGCTGGCACATCCGCAACCACAAATGCCAGCACGGCGGCGGCGGTGATGAGCAGCGACGCGGCGACCAGCAGCGGCACGCGGCGGGGCCCCTCCAGCGCAGCCGCCAGGCGGCGGCGCCAGCCGACCACCGCCGCGGGCTGCACAGCCTCGTCGCCAGCTACAGGTGGTACGACGCCGTAGAACTGCAGGTCGTCGCGGAAGACTGTGCGCGGGCACGCCGTACGGCCGCCGCCACGTCGCCGCCACTGCGGAAGGCGTTGCAGCACGCCCTCGAAGCTGGCGCCGCTCCGATCAAAGAAGAGCTCGCCGCGCGTCGCGTCGTAGAACCCGGCGCGGCCACTGGTCGTCGCCGAGCCGCGTGCGCGGCAGGCGGCGCAGTGTAGCAGCACGCGTCTCGAACCCGCCGCCCGCCGACGTTGATGACCAGACGGTCGTCCGTGTCGGCCCCGAGCTTGGTCAGTTCCATGTCGGCTGTCTCAGGCAGCGCTGGTGCCGCCGCGTGTTGCTGCGGCAAGACGCTGAAGCATGTGCGCGTCAGCCATTTAGTAGGCTTCGGAGACGCACATACCACTGAGTGCATCAGAAAGGCTTACACATGGAGACATTTTTGAAGATATACATCACGTACACGAATACAGTGCCGTAGGCATGCAGATGCATTTGATGTGAGCGTGTTCGGTTGTTTTGCTGCTGTCACATGTAACAATTTTTTTCGCAAGCAAGGCTGCAAGTCAATTAAGTTTTGAGCTTTGTGCCAGTCATCTACTTAAACGGCCTGGTGTGCCCTGGCCCGGTCCGGCCGGCGTGACACACGCAAATCCGTTGCAATCAATGACTACAAGTTCATGCAATTTTTATCAAAAATAATTTTGTTCTCACACAGTTGCGCCGCAAAACTTGTGTATTTCTGTGCAAGCTGTCTGAACCAGCGAGACAAGCTGTGCAACCTCCTCCCTTAACGTTGCAAAATGACAAAGATTTTTCCTTCCCCGTTGGTCCATTGGATTTGCAAGGAAAGGGTAAAAGTAAAAAAAGTTTCTAACTGCACACAAGCCGAAAAGTTCGGATCGAACCCGGATACAGTTTTGAACGGTCAAGCATCGCGGTGACACGGCATCCAAATTCTAGCGGAGGATAACACACATAATGGCTTAGACAAACGCGTGAGTAGTGGTGTGCAAATGCCACGCCGTCGTACGCAAACGATTGATGCACCCGTTTTGTTGTTGTTTTTTTATCATAAATGTAAAACCACGGCAACCAGAGAAAATAATGACGTCACGCCAGGTCTACGGTGTAGGCAATTGTACGGGCTACAAAATGCTAACGGATTTCAAAGCCGTTCGACCGTAGGCTCGCCACCAATCGATCGGTAATCGCCCAGTGGCAGCATTTTCTTAAATCGATCTCGAATCGACCTTGAATCAATGTTGAATTGACCTTAAATCGAATCTCGAACGATTTTAAATCGATCTTGAAGATGAGACGCTGTAGTCTTAAGTAGAAGGACTGGCCCCACGACTACTACATGGCCATGACAAATATACGGAAGGCCTGTTTATTGAAAAACATATCGACCCTAAAATATTGCCATTTTTGGCAATATTTCTTTTTACGTTGTCACAAAACAGTACTTTTTGACGCTTTTACAATCCGCAGATCACCAAGGATCCATCAACTTGTTTTTAGATATGCTTGATAAAAACTGCACTGTCTGACGAAACCCGCAGCCAGCCATTGTCCAGCAAATTATTTTTGAATCGGTTCATGCGTGCCGCATCAGAGGACATTCGCATGCTATGTTTCAACGACAGGTAGACTTAGACAACACATGGATGAAGTTGTTTGCATTGCATTGGTTGCTGAATGCATCACGCTGTGCTTGTTTATATTTTTGTATGGCCAACACAGCAGCTGACAGCTTTATTGTACGTAATCGCTTCGCTCGCCCGACGCCAAGCATAGCGTACTACTGGAAGCAGGTAGACCTGAAGCTAAATTGTTTGGCGCCTGCAGGCCACAAGTACGTTTGATGTTGTATATCTTCGCCCTGATCCGCGGTTTTTTCATAATACTGCCTAATCGGGGGGGAGGGGGGGTCGGTGAAACTCCCCTGCGTTTCCGAACCAATGAAGATCAAGTTTAGCGCAAAACACCAGTATCTTGGTTTTAAAACAATATCGCTTATCGATTGACACTTATTTTTGGTTAAGTCAATCACTGGCTCCATTATGCGAGGTCGAAGGTCAAGTACAAGTACATCATGCATACAAGACCATTCTTCGTGGTGACATGAAATCTACACGGATGTACTACATGTTCAGTTATGAGTACAATAACGCACATTTATGTATTTTTGGCATTAATTATTATGTACGGCTCCATTAATGAAACCATGTCGGCCCACCGCGAGCGTTCCGCGGGATGGTCAGTTTCCGCCCGCCGCTCGCGCCGGCCATATTTGAGTGTCCCCTAAAAAACCACCGCTGCTTCCGAATCAGAAAAGCTTGGAACACGTTTCGGTGTCAAACACGTGCTATGGATGACCCGTACGCTACTAAGAAGTTTGACACGATTACACAACACGCCAGAGAGGTATAAAAACCTCAGAGGGGGGAGGGGTCGATCGACCTCCCACATGAGGCCGACGTTTAACACAAACATGCTTTTACAGGAACATCGGGATTGCATTGTCCTGTTTCGACAAGCAATAAGATGGAAACGGGTTTGGTCAGTCTATCTGCTCGCACTGGGATGTTGTTAATCCAGGAGTCGGCGAAACTGTCACCACCTGTGAAACTCGAGGCACTACTTACCGCTCGACCACGGTTGCTGAAGGCTCGCGACGCTACCCCAGCGCTGACACCGCACTGACCTTTGCTTCAAGCACCCTTCGAAGTCAAGCAGCCTGGTGCTTTCGCAGGCCGCCGACTCGATTTTACTGGGCAGTGTCTATATCAAGTTGCGTAAACTGACTGATACCGGCGGTTATGGACAGACTGAGCGGAGAAGCCGGCTGCGGCCTGGTCCGGAGGAAACTGATAAATTAATCTCAAGGTCGGACTCCATGCACTTGGACCAACGAACGGTGGTGGTGCAGCAATTGCTTATTTAGTCAATGAAATTGGACAGAGGCGCAGCCAGGGCCTTTGAAGGGAAAGGGCGGGGCACAGGGTTGACAAATTCTCCGAATGGTGCGTCCCCCAGAAGAAGTCACCAGGCATGGCCCACTTGTTAACACGCGCTCGGGCGGGGGTCAAGTTGAACCCCCGAAGTTGTTTTCCAAAATGGTCTCCGAGCGGCGAGGCGTAGCCGCGCTAAGTTTTGTATATCAGTAGACAATTGAACAGCAGATTGTCTGGCATCAAAAATTTAGATGTAACTTGTAAGGTCACTGACCTATGGCAGGTGAAATTCAGGCTATGGTTTCAGCGAAAGCAATTTCTAGGCAATCATCCAATCTGATCCAACAACGGAGCGTTGGACAAAACCATACATCTCTGAGGTACTTTCTTAGACAACACAGTAATTGAATGACAAATAACATTGACCTAAGGTCCGTTATGAAGGCCATACCAAGGTAAAAATGAACCTGTTTTAATGCTCTATGGCTTGCTGTGTGGAGTAGTCTCTGGTGCTCACTTCGAATCTATTGATAACAGGAACCGCATTATACACCTTTTATAGACTTCTTATAGGTCAGTATCTGTCACTGACATAGAATAAGCCAGGTCAACATTTTGTTTTTGGGAACATACTGCCTAGCGTAGCCTTTGTCGCTTATCCAAATGCAAAACTCAGAGATGTCTTGTATCATTTTGGTCAACATGAACTTCAAAAGTTCAAACGAGGTCACTGACCTTAGATGAGCATGTGCCGTTTTGCTTGCAACAGTTATCCAGGTTCCTGCGGGTCCTTTGGAGACCAGCCTGGAGTTTGACCACGTTTGACCTTATTTGACCCGAAGATCATGAACTAGGAGCCTCAAACCTTGACCTAGGTGAGTTCACGTACAGATCAAGGCACCCTGTGAATGTTGTGTCTCTAGCCCTCTTAGTACCTGAGATCTCAGGGGCGTCAAATTTACCACCGCCCGACCCAAATGTATCCAACCGGCCACCCGTGCGCGTGTTAATGATGAAGACGGTTTCCTTATTTCCTTATTTTCTACCTTCCATGGCTGGTACAGAACCCAGACAAGCCAGACAAGCCAGACAATACGCGAGACCAATGCTGTTTTAATTTGATGTCAATAAACTGAATGATGAAATGATGAAATAAACTGAATTGATGAAATAAGCTTTACAACGGGTTAGTGACTTTCTAAACCGACAGAACTAAGAAGTGTTGCCAGAATTTAATTGGGCTCTACAAAGATACGTATTGAGGACCCGGTGACTAGATTGTGGATCGAAATTGGTAAAAAATGATATTAGCGTGACCAGCCCATGCTTGCAGTGGAACATTTTGTCAGAATTGATAAGCAATAAACAATATGTTACATTGTTTTGAGCATGCGCGCTCGCAAATCTTAGACGGAAACCAAAACCTCGATGTCCGGCGTTGCAGTCTCCATAGACAACGCGACTACACTAAGCGTTGACCAACAGGCAGGCACAAATCTGGTAGCGGAGTTGCAAGCGTACAGGTAGAATATCTACCGTCGTGTTGCTGTATCAATCCTAAATGTCGTGCATCTATAATTTCTATATTTCTGGTTGCTGATACCAGACACGCACCCTGACTTTCGCGGAGCCCTCTGAATAATATTTCAGGCCACGGCCTTTCGGAC